CACACACACACACACACACACACACACACACACACACACACACACACACACACACACACACACAGATCAGACCTGGTTTGATCCTAGAACACATCTAAACTGCTGTTCAGACAAACACTTGTGTCTAAGCCTGGTCAGAGCTCCAGATCTTGTCTCTTCCTGTCTGTTAGTCTCCTGCTTTAACTAAACACACCTTTACCTTTGTCTACAACCTGTTAATAAAACACCCAGTTACTCTGTACTGCAGAAGCAGTTCTCTGTTTACTCTTTGGGTAAATCTCACAGATCTGAGTGACTTTAGCTCAATAGGATCTACTCTCTTGTCACTTATTCTTTACCAAGTGAGTGCTTTAATAAACCTGAGCCTTCCTATAACCAGTAAATAACCAGTAGACACCAGTCTGTTCAAGGCTTTTCCAACACAAACACTATTTATTGGTTTTGAAGAATCAAACTGTGGCACATTGATGTCTAAATAAAACAGATTTCACAATAATAGAATAAAAAACATGCAGGAATTACAAATATAAATCCAAACCTTTAATTTGCAGCAGAACAAGAGGAAGTTTGACTGTAAATAAGTAGAAACTTCAACAGAAACCTGGAAGCTGAAGCTGAGATTTAATTTTTACCATTGATGAACCAGGTAAAATGAGATCAGCTGACCTGTCAGCCGCTTCTAGTCCAAGTTTTAAGCTCCGCCTCCTCCATGTTGATGATGGGATATTGTTCTTATTTTATTATCTTTTTTTTTCTGCTGAAACAAAACACACCTCAGGTGTTGGTTTAGGTGTCGACTCCCTGATTCACTTAATTCTTACTTTGGTGCTGTTTGTTCAAATATTCATTTTCTAACTGTTTATCTGTAATCAGTTATAATTAAAGAAAGCTCCTGTAACACCATGACTGACAGTGGGAAAGGAGGCGGGGCTTAGCAGATGCTGGTTCCAAACACCCAGCATGGCAGCTTGTGTAAAGTGCTGGTTGTCTTCAGAAGACAGTGTGCTGTAGTTAACAGTCATTTATGAAGAATAGATATGTTGTCTGGTTTCAGCCCCTCTGCTGCCTCTGATACAGGCTGAGAAAGATTTAATCAACCGCCTTAGAGTCTGATTGTCTTTACACTTACAGGAAACAGAAAGTGTTGAAGCTCCTCACAGTAACTTCCATTATTCTCCACATGTCTGTCAGTGACTTCACATCAGTCTGAGCAGTGGTCCTACTCAATATTTATATTATCTAATGCAGCATGAGCTTAGAGCAAATCTTACAATTTACTAATCTACTACAAATTATTTTTCCTCACATTTTTTGCACTAATCTCACTGAAGTAATCTTGACTTTTATTTATTTATAAATATTTAGCATTCTTATGAATTTATTTCGGGTGGTACAGTGGTTACAGTGGTTACAGTGGTTACAGTGGTTACAGTGGTTACAGTGGAGCAGTGGTTACAGTGATTACAGTGGTTACAGTGGTTACAGTGGTTATAGTGGTTACAGTGGTTACAGTGGAGCAGTGGTTACAGTGATTACAGTGGTTACAGTGGTTACAGTGGTTA